AGCGCTGATGTGAGGGCACGGGCTTTACATGGGCTCTGGGGATTTAAACACAGCTCGTGCTTCACCGACTGACCCATCTACCCAGCTCCAGACCACTGTTCCTTAGGCTGTGTGACGTCAGGGCGCCACATATATGCCCTCCACCACCGAGCTTCACCCCTACCCCACCTATAACAACTTTTATTCTAGACTCTCCAGACCTGTGTGTAACCTCTGCTTTCTGTTTTATTTCCCTTCACATTTTAGACACACAACCACAGCATTGCAAGAACAGCAAATAATGCACAAAAGGAATTTGAAATCATAGCTGCCTGCCCATCAGGTACTGTGATGACCTTGCTAATAATCTCAGGAGAGTGAAACTGCCCAGACTTTGTCTCGGGCCCCCACTTTCCTTTGCTGCAGGACTGCACCGGTTTGCTAAGTCAGCCAGGCTGGTCTCCCAATCATTTCCTTGTTTATTCATTTGTTACTTTAGAGGCCTGGTCTCACTTTGTAGATTAGGCCTGGCCTGGCTAACTTTCAATCCTCCTTCATCCTCCTGGTGCTGACAGGGTCACAAGTGTCTACTGTCAGGCAGGGGTTTGTCTCAACTTTCAAGGAAGTTTTAAATGAGAAACTTAACAATACATACTATATATACAGACAAATCTATATATACAGAAAAGTGTTAAAACCTAACTCTTTGAAAGAAACAATGAAACTGTTTTGAACTTCACAAAATTTAAGCCTAAATCTTTATCATTTTTAACTTGTACAAAAACATTTAGCCAGCCATGGGGAGAGCAAGTCTGTAACTGGGAAGCCAAGGCAAATAACTGTTAGGAGCTTCAGGCTAGCCTTGGCTACAGAGCAGGACCCTGGCTCAATATATAAAGGAAGAAACCGATATCTAACCATATCGTAGTGATGAGAAAATTACAAACCGGAGGGATGGCGCGCACCTCGCTCAGCACTCAGAAGCCTGAGGCAGGAACCACAAGTTCAAGGCCAGTTAGGACCACGTAGCTACGACCCTATCTCGGCAGAAGGAGGAGTAAGATGAAAGCACACCATAATCCTGTCCTACGCTTCATCACAGCTCACGAGGGGGGAGCCAGACCTCACCATCCTGCTGTCCTGTTGTGCCATGAACACCGGTCAGAAAGAGTGCAGGCAGGAACAGATCTGCCTTAGCTTACACTTCCAGGTCACTGTCACTAAAGAAAACCAGAGCCGGAGCTCAAGCAGGCCAGGGAGAAACTGAGAAGGAACACTGTGGCGGCCTCCTCTCAGGTGCCCCCACTTGCCCACAGGAGTGTCTTTGTACGGGCCAGAGCACCTGGGTCCTAGTCGGTTAACACAATCTCGCACAGACACGGCCACAGAACAACGTGAAAAAACTCAGCTGAAACTCTTCCCCATGACCCAGACCAGGTTGACAGCTGATGTGAGTTGGAGCATATTGCAAAATAGATGTCCAAAGCAACCCCCCAAAAGGAACACTAAGCTGCAGCCCCTCAAAAGAGACACTAAGCTGCAGCCTACTCTGGCATTCTTCTGTAATAACTATAACCTCCTGCCTTTCCGTGGTTGTGATTCTTTTCAAAGTGTTTTTACCACTCGGGAGCCCTGGTAATCAAATCTGTGTGCTCCTCAATGCTGTGTCAGTGATAGTCACACCGCTCAGGACACAGGATGGGGCCAAGATGGGAGAGGTAACAGGAATCAGCCTAAACAAGGGCGCCCCGAGATGATCACCCACCTAAGAGAACAAGACAGCAACATCAGAAACCCGGGATAGGAAACAGACTTCAGGAGACTCAGGGGTTGTAACCGCTGGGCTTCCTTCCCCTATCGAAAATGGAAGACAGCCCTCACGAGGACCATGTTTGGATGGGAAGATCTGGAATTCTGGCTGAGAAGTCAGTGGGGCAGTGGGATAGAATAATAAGTCATTCCTTTTCCTGGCCGAGTTCGTTTCCTCCTGTTACGGTGAGAAACCACCCTGGCTGAAAACGACTCAGGGATGGAAGGGTTATTTGTCCAGCTTACCTGTCCAGGTCACCAGTCCCCAGGGCAGGAACAACTGAGGCCTCTGCTTGCCCAGCTTTCACACACAGTCCAGGGCCCCCAGGACAGTGGGCCAAGGGGATGGTGCTGCCAACCACTGAGGGGCCTCCTGCGCAGTGGTCAGGTGATCACCCATAGACATTCCCACAGGTTAATCTAATCTGCGTTCTCCTCTCCCGCCGCAGACTCCAGGCTGTGTCAAGTCAGCCAAGCTGAGATGATCAGCAAGCTCTAGAGGCCACGGCAAACACCGCTAAACATAAATGGAACGAGGACTGGAGGTCCGAGAAAGGACTTCTTTACTGGAATCTCTTCCACACTTTCTAAAGTCATTTGATTTGTTTCAGCTAGCAATCCATGGCCATCTCCTGTTCTGGGAGACACACTAACACAGTTGTCCCTGAGTGTTAACTTCCTCTCCTTGCTTCCTAACACTACCTAAGAGGATGTTTTTCTTTTTCTTCTTTTCTTTTTGAGGCAATGTCTCTCTATCCTGGAACTTTATAGAGAGGCTGGCCTTAAACTCAAGAGATCCACCTGCCTCTGCCTCTTGAATGCTGGGATTGACGACCTGTACCACCACGCCCAGCTTTCCTCATTGTTTTAAACCGTGTGTGTGTGTGTGTGTGTGTGTGTGTGTGTGTGTGTGTGTGTGTGTGTGTGTGTGTAGGAAGCACACTGCCAAGACAGCAGCAGGTACGCCCCAGGGATATGCAAGGCACTGATTTCCATCCCCAGGAGAGTGGAGAGCACCATGACCAAAATGGACACCACCAGGAGCTGTTGAGAGGCAGTCAGAGCTCCTGCTGCTCTTTGCATAGATATCAGTGGGGAGGGGGGGGGTTAGTAGACCCTCTCCTGGCCTCTGAGAACTGCATCCACACGGTGCACACACATGCATGGAGTCAATACACTCATAAAACATAAAAAGCACGCTATCATAAAATAAGCCACACTAGACAGTGGATATTTAAATTTAAAAAGCCGCAATTTCAAATGTATGTACTATGTAACTAATAAAACCAGAGAACAGGAAAGTAACTGCACAAGTTATGTGGACCAGAGTGGTCCAGTGAGAGCAGAAGCATGCAGCTGTCGGTAGGAGACCAAGGAGCTTCGTGTGCGGCTGCATAATGCAAAGACACCAAGAGACGTCTATAAACACGCGTGGATGTGTGCCACGGGTCCCGCTCCTTCACAGTCGCCCCGTCTCCGTTCTCCTAGACACCTATAACTGATATCGTTTTAAACAATGGAGCTTTCTCCCCACAAATGGAGCCCATCATTTCGGGCACTTCTTTCTAAGCCAACGAAACCCCCAGTTAATCTCTCCCAAATGTATGCGCATAGCTGCCGTGCCGTTCACAAACGAAGCTCTAACCTAAATGCTTCAAGTGAAATTCCAGGACAAAGCGCTGTTCAAAACCCAGATAATGCATTCCTTGGCTGACGCTAAATATAGTCTTCTCAAGATGACATACATTTTGACAATCATCAGCCTTACATGTCAAGAGTTCTAAAATAGCACAGATCCCATTTTAAGGAAAGCAGAAAAAAATTGCTCCTCCCTCAGCATCACTGCAAATCTATTAAACCTATTAAAGCCAGATCGCATCACACGCTGCTAGACGGAAAACTGGATTTTGTTGCAGTTTTTGCATTGGGCTAAGTCAACCGTTGCAGGTAAAATTCAAAATTGCACTCATTTCTCTTAATGATTCCTCAGAAGCATCAGGCAAGCGACAAAATACTAAGCTGGGCCTGAGGGTACAGGCCTGTAAGTCCAACAAGTGCAGGCTGAGACGGGAATCGCCGTCCCGCCTGCACTACAGAGTGAGTCCACGGCTAGCTTGGACAACCTAGTAAGATCCTGTCTAAAACAACTCAGTGGCAAGAGCACTTGCCTAGCAGGGACCAACTACATCAAACAGTCCGTTTATACTACAGCCCACTGCCAAACAAAACAAAAGACTTCAGGTAATTATGGACTTTCCCATACAAACACCCCAAAACAAACAAAAAAAAATCAGAGAGCAGTTTAACCTATAAAAGAATAATATTGGGGGAAAAATTATATAGTTCGCTCAATTTCGTATGACCAAGCCGGTCTGAAAATGTGAGTTCGTTTCATGGAGACGTATTCCTGCTGTTGCTTGCCCAATGGGCTCCTGTAGTATAAACTCATTAACAAAATCTGACTGATGAATGACACTCCGTCACTATTCTCAGAGAGCGGGTCAGTGGCGTCTTTTCTCTGCTTGCCTGTCTTTTTCCAAGGGCAGCCACTTTGTGAGGGCGGACCTTATGCTATTTTTACCACATTATCTACGCTCAATTCCTTCCCCACTTTGTGGCCTTAAAAATAAAATTCATGTCTCAAAACCACTGGGCAATCACCTAATCTCTCAACTTGATCCTATCTCTCTCTCTCATGCACATGTGTGTATGTATGTATGTATGTATGTTTGCATGTATATTACATATGTGCACACATTGCATTTGAACATCTCACAGTTTATTCACACGGTGTTTCCACTCCGATTTCTAGAGGTAGCAACTCAACCTCCAAGCATAATCCCAGTCTTGGCGATGGGAAGCAATTTGGAGACCCGGGATGGTAGACTATAAATCCCTCGTTTCCCAGTTTTCACAGGAACCTATGAGCAATTTCTTCAAAACCACAGCCACTGCTGGAGGAGACTGCGGCGGGCACGTGCTGGGCCACCGAGAACTCACCCGCTCGGACCCTGAGGGTCCCGGGCGGAGGAGTGGACACACACTCGGCTCCCCGGAACACTCTCCCCCAAACTCAGCCGTCCAGATTCCGATAAAACAGAAGACCCAAGGCCTGGCAAGGGACCAACCCGCAGCCGAGGCCGGCGGGGCAGAGCGCAGTGCTCCCCGCGGGCCCGGAGCCCCTCCGTGTTCACCCCACCCAGCCCTCCTACCCGCTTGTCGCCGGGGCGCCGCGCCGCTCCTCAAGCTCCGCGCTGCGCGTCCGGGTCTGCGCGCTCCCCACGCCGCTCCAGCCGCCTCGAGCCCTCTGGCCGCCGCGCGCCAGCAGCAAGTTTCCATAAAAGTCCTGGTGCGCAGCCGGCTCCCGCATTCCAGACGGGCCCAGCGCCCGCTGCAGCTGTTCCGGGACGCCAGGCCAGTCCCCAACCCCCACCGCCTCCGCAGCTCTTGGAGAGGGGTGGAGAGTCACCCAGAAAGGAGAGGGGCGGTGGCTGCCACTCCGGGCTGCCTCCTGGCAACCCGCCGGCGCGTCCCTGCCCCAGTACCCCATAAAAACTCACTTGGAACAGCTTCCTTCCCGCTTTCTACTGAATGGGGCGGCAGGGGGCCAACACTGTATTTGTTGCTCCTCTTTAACTCGGAAGCGCTAAGTGAAAAGGGCGCTTAGGTAGCGGGATGTGAGTCCACGCAACCGCTCACCTTTCCTTGGCTGAAACCAAACCACCTCTGCGCCTCCTCAGCACCCAAAAGCAGGGGTGTGTGAGCGCAGCACTGCGCAGGGAAACCACGTTTGATTGTGAAAGACTAGCCCAGCGGAGGCCTATTTGGTTAAGTAGAGGCCCTCGGGTCTTCAATGCATTAAAACAACAAACCAACAAGATGTTTGTGTCACACAAATAAAGGCCCCAGGTTCAACCCCCTCCAGCACTACACTAAAGAAAAACAATATTAACAGAAACAAGTTAGCCAGGAGGTGAAGGCAAGATAGGGCGTTCAAAACCTAGCCGGCACTATAGAGAGAGTTTGAGGACCGCCTGGGCTTCAAAAGGCCTTCTCTTGGAAATCCATAACGAATAGAAAAATGAGGCGGCGAGGTAGGTAACCTAGGGACAAAGGTAACCACTTCTGGTTCCGCCACTGTGCAGACCAAAGAACAGGTGATTCTGCCTTCTGTTTAGCTGTGTGCTCTGCGTCCCTCACCGCTCAGCTGGAGGGAAAACGCCGGAGGCCGCCAGGAGGAGCCTGCTCGCCCCTGCGCCTCCTTTCACTAGCCCCGTGTCTTCAGTTCGTGGGGCTCTCCCTGCCCTCTGCTCACTTAAGCTGCCCTTAGACCTTTCCTTGACTCTTCACCTCGCTTGGGCACACCCTTTGGCCCTCCATTTGAATGTTGCATCCTGCAGGAAGTCCCCCCCCCCCCACAACTCCCCAAGTCTCTTGTAGATGCTGCTGGTGTCTTTGACTCGCTGGGCACTTAAACTGTAATTGTATCTTTATTCTGAGATTTAAAGGATGAGATTTTGTATTTCTACCCAACAATCTCAGAGGAAGATATGGTGACCTTCAGCCATAAAATTATTTTTGTTGCTACTTCATAACTAATTTTGCTACTGTTAATGAATCATAATGTAAATATCTTTCTTTTGATGGTCTTAGGCAACCCCTGTGGAAGGGTCATTCGACCCCCAAAGTCGTCCTGACCCACACGTTGGGAAGCACTGTTCTACAGTGTTCTGCTGACAAATAAAACTACCCCGTGGCCCAGCAGGATTCTGTGTTTTATGGAGAGAATGGAAATTTTTGCATAATCAGATGAGGTTATTGGCACAGAATTTGTGGGAGAGACCACACATGGAGACAGGAAAGTGTAGTGAAGGACTGGTAACGACCTCTCTAGACCCCAACCATTTATTTTTTGCATGTGTGTGGCATGCATGCATGTATGTGTTGGTATGTGTGCGCACAAAGAGGCCAGAGAACCCCTCTCAGGAGTTGTCTGCTTAGGACGACCATCCACTTCCTTTTGAGACAGGGTCTCACTGGCCTGGAACTCACTAGTTACGTTTGACTGGCTGAGCATCCAGTGCCAGGACTGCCCTGTGTTCTATCCCTAGGCCCGACAGCCTTATGTGTCCCCACTGAGGATTGATCATGGGCCCTCAGGCTGGCAAGGCAATCACTTCTCTGAGACCGCTCCTCAGTCCTAGCAGCTCCTCCCCGAAAGGCCTAAAAGGCCCACTACCTCCTCTCACCGAATAGGACCCAGCACCCATACACAGTTTATATGGATGGAGAGGATGACATCACCACAGGAGGCAGATGTGACTATCTGGGGAGAGTTAGCTCACAGAGGGATCCTACCTAGTAAGTGCTAGGAAAAACAAGGAGGCTTGTGTGGGGGAAGCTCAGGACCCGAAGGGTGAAATAACAGGAGCGGAGGTGGGCAGGGCCAGACTACACAGGCGCTTTTGTGGGCATGGGACAGGTTTGATTTTACTCTAAGATAGGTGGCCACCAGTGGGCCAGAGACAAAGTGATGGCAGTGGTGGCTGCTGTGACCTGCTTGCAACGTATTTGTTTGGGCTCCAGAGTTGCAAATAGACAAATGGGGTGAGGGAGGAAGCAGGAGACAGATGCAGGGGTCCAGAGAATCAGGAGGAAGACACTGGAGTTTGGTGACTGGAAACTTGAGGTGTGTCTCAGGTTGAACTGGTGGGCCTCTGAACAGACTGATTCCAGATAGGAAGAGAGGGCATGGTGTCTCTGCACAGTCATAGAGACCCTAACTCAGACACTGGGTTTCTAGTAATGTCAAATTTAGATGTCAAAACTTAACCTACCCTGATCTCCACCCTCTGTAGTCTTCTACATTTAACTGGGTGGCTTACAGTTTCAGAGGAAGTGGTCTGAGACACTGCGCATGGCTTGAGCATATATGAGTGACACATTCCTCCAACAAGGACACAGCTACTCCAACAAAGCCACACCTCCTAATAGTGCCACTCCCTATGAGCTGATGGGGCCAATTACATTCAGACTACCACACCCAAGATTTGCAAATATGTATATGGACTCCTGTTATATTTAGCACACATCAACTGGGTCTGTTCTCACTCTGTATCAGTTATAGTCTAGGGTACTGGGGTTCAAACCTTAAGTGTACTGGGTGCTCTAACGTTGAGCTATACCTTTAGCCTCTGTCCAACTTAGACACACAACAATAGATATAGAAACACAGCTGAAGCTTTGAAATGAATTGGTAATGGCAAATAGCTTATGTGACTTAACCATCAAGCCTGGAGAATACAAACGTAAAATCCTGGGTACAGACATCAAGCTAGAGCGGCTCCAGCCACTGCCCTTGTACTGCTAAAGGCTTTCTCTCTTTAAAGTAAGGGATGTAATTGACTGTCTAGTGCCAAACAACCCTGAAAGCACACATACAGGTAACCTTATATGGACTGAGCAGGTTGTATTTATGAGCATATATATGAATATACAAATACACATATGCGTGCACTAACAAGTGGTGAGAAAGGAGGACCATGACTCTGAAGGGAGGGGAAGGGGTGTATGGGAGGGTTTGCGGGGGGGGGGGGCGGGCAGGAAGGGAAGGGGAAAAGTTACAATTAAAACTGAGTTTCAAAAGCAGACCATGACAACAAGCAAGGCATGCTGGGCATGGGGCATGTGCAGTCAGACACCTATAGCCTGGTCTACATAATGAGTTCTAGGCTAGCCTGGGCTACATAGTGATACCCTGTCAAAAAGGAAAAAGTTAGGGACTTGTAGGGTGTAGGATATACATTGGTGGGGCACATGCTTAGCAAGTGAGAGACCCTGAGTGCGCGTGCGTGTGTGTGCAGGTCAAAGGACAACGTTCAGGAGTAGAGGCTCTACGTTCAGGAGTAGAAGGTTCTAGGGAACAAACTCGGTTTGTCAGACCTGAATGGCAAGTGCTTTTTTTTACCAGACAAGCCATCTCTCGGGCTCAGTTGTTCAGCCAGCATGAGGATCCTGAATGATCCTGCCTCCTGGTAATTGGACTGCGCAGCGTTCTCCCACACTGGGTCAGGGTTGGCGCCCAGCAGAGTCTAGGCACTGCCAAGGCTGGGAGATGCCAGTGGGCAAAGTGCTTGCCACACTCGCCCGACCACTGGGGCTGGGATCCCCGGAAGTTGTAAGGAGCCAAACTCAGTAGGGCATGGGTCTGTTATCCCAGTGCACACCTAGGGCAGGACGAAGAGAAGCACTGGAAGGTACGAGCCAGCTAACCTGTGAATAAGGAAACCGGTTCTGCCTCAAAGTGGAAGGTGAGGACGGCAGCCGACGCTGTCCTGACTTCCACACATGCGCCGTGGGCTGGTCCGTGCTTGCGCGAGCATGCGTACACCCTGTCCCAAACACTGCCTATCACACAAATACTGCCTTTCACCGTTCTTTCCTTGAATTACACTAGAGAAGTAGCCACTTCTGTGTTCTAAAACACCCAGGAAACTGCTGAGAGCTCAGTCCATAAGGAATGATGTCCCCTGCGGACAGTCAGCAATGGACAGGCCTCCTGACAGCAGGGCCGAGTCAGCCGATCCCCCAGCCTTCGGACTATTTTGTGTTGCTATCACAGACACCTGATACGGGGTAACATTTTTAAATTTATTTGGCTCATAACTCTGGGAACTTGGTTGACACTGGCATGGATGTGAGGACCCCCTGCTGTACCACAGGGTGGCTTGCAGAACAGGTAGTCCTGTATGTTCCTTTAGAGCTCTCAGGGAAGTAACCCACGCTGACCAAGCCTATCAGCAGCACTGACCGCCCAGAGGGCGGGGCCTGACCCCCGGAGGGCGGAGCCTGACCCCCCGGAGGGCGGGGCCTGACCCCCGGAGGGTGGGGCCTGGCCGCCCAGAGGGCGGGGCCGCACAACCTCACTGATTTCCATGAGGCCCATCACCACCTGAAGGGTCCATCAATCACTTCAACAGTGCCACGTGAGAAGCTTCCAGCACACGAACCTCTGAGGAGCACGGCAGGCAAATGCACATCCGTTATCCCCAGTTGAGCCTTTGGTTTCCTGCAACCTTAGACCTTGATTCAGAAGCAGCAGGCCGGACATCCATTGGGGTCCACCAACCCTCAAAGCAGCGACTGTGAGTTGGTGTTAAACTGTGTGACACTCCTCACACAGCTGTGACAAGTGCCTACTGGGAGGCAAGCTGAGGCTCTGGGAGCTGAACATCACCTGAACCCAGGAATTTGCAACAGGCCTTGGTCAACACATAAGACCCTGTATCAAAAATAATGAAGCGGCAGAGGGAAGATGAACGCTTTGTCACCTGCTCCTGCCATGTAAGGGCTGCGCCTTTTTAGGCTCCATCATCTTAAGAAGGTTTAGCAGCATCGGCAAGGCTGTAGGACCCGCTCTTCCCCAGCGCTGCGCATGGCAAAGCGGCTCTGTGTTCAA